ACGAATGGAACAATACCCAGACATGTTGATTTCGAGTACACATTGCTTAAATGAGGGGGGGGGGGCAAGGGTTATTTCGTTCAACGTAATTGCATTATTTTTTTGTTCGTACAACGTAAATAGAAAAAATAAATTCCGTAATTCTGTAATCACAGGCTAGACGTACAACGTAATCAATCAAATATTTTTTTCGTACACTGTAAAAATGTGTCATTTTTCTCGTAAGTACAAAAATTCACATCCAAATAAAAAAAATCGTAAAGAATAATCCAGGGAAATTACATTTTAGAAACTGTAAAACGACTAGATGACACAATTCACTACAAAATTGAGTGTCAAGACGTAAAAGGCCCTCTAACCGAATGAAGAGCATTACGAGGGTAATATGCGCACGCGTCTCTTCACACAGCCAGCAATGGTGGAGACTTTGAGTCGGAGAGCTCTTCGGACCATTAAATGTTCCATTTGTTAACACTGTAAACTGTAAAAACGTCTTTTTTTTTCTTCGTAAATTGTGAAAAGCCCTTTTTATTTCCCGTAAAACCGTACCAGCTAACCCCCCCTCCCATGCCTCCCCTCTTAAATATATGTGACATGGACAGCATTTGTTAAAAGATTATTCACATTAACTAAAATTAGCGATGAATCTAACACTATAGAATTCAAAACCAAATTCAAACAAGTTTACTATAATAAAGTCTGGTTGCCAACGGTATTTAAACCAGAAAAGAATAAGCTACGTACTTTTAACAAGTTTAAACAAAATTTTGAATTTGAACCATATTTAGAACAAATCAAAAATGTGCAACACAGGGTCAGCTTCACTAAGTTTCGCATTTCTTCTCACGCGTTGCCAATTGAAAAACTTAGATATAATAAAACACCTCCAGAGCAAAGGTTTTGTTTTCTATGTAATGAACAGGCTATTGGGGATGAATTTCATGTATTACTCACATGTAAAAATAGTCAGATTGTACAAGCTCGTACTAAATTTGAAGCTGAATTAGCAATTTATGATGATAACATTTGCAAGTTATCAACTCATGAGAAATTCAAGTGCTTGCTAGGCACTAAAGATAGCTTTATTGTCAATTGCTTGGGAAAATTTATTGATTTTATTTCTAAGCTTTAGTTTAGTCTATTGTTTTATTTGTGTTTTTCTTGACCATTGATTTATTGTATGTTTTTTTCATTCATGCTAAATTTTGTGTCAAATAAAATATCTATCTATCTATCTATCTATCTATCTATCTATCTATCTATCTATCTATCTATCTATCTATCTATCTATCTATCTATCTATCTATATATCTAACATCCCTTTACCATTTATGTTCAAATTTTATGCAGTCAATACTCTGTTTGGGGTACATGTGAATAACCATTTAGTACATAGATTTAAGATGGTCGACTAGTAGACATTTTAGTGTTTAAAATGCCATTGCAAAGCAGGGTCTCGGGCATGTGCATGAATGATAATTTGCCTAGACCCTTATTTTCATCTACTTCATTCATTCATTCATTCATTGACTGACTTCATTCATTTATAAACATAACATGGGATTGATGTTCGCTTAACAATCCTACAATTGATACTTTGAATATTTGAAAGTTCTGAACCTTGACCTTTATCCTGCAGGTTCCGAGATGGACAAGAGGTATTTTCATCTTACCAATATTCTCTTAAAGATAGTGGAGACGTGTTCACATTATGTTTCAAAGAACTAGCTCTGAGAGATGCTGGAGACTATGCATGTGAAGTTCATAACAAACTGGGAACAGATAAGTGTGTAACCAGACTGATAGTAGAATGTGAGTAAAATCATATCTTTGTATGTATGAAGTAAAATGAGGAACTTTTGAGTTTATTCTCTCTGTGTTAATGTTGATTTCCATTTGTTTTACTAGTATTAAAAATGGATTAATTATTCACTGGGTTTTAATTTCACTATTTTTGTCAATCAGTAAAACCCACTAATCTAAATCCATGTGAACATGTAAAATAACAACAAAAAATAATTGTTTTTCCGCTAAGATTGTGAACTTAAAACCTGGTGAAATTGCTCAAAACATTAAATAGCGAAATTAAATGACAATGAAAATAAACTGTTTTACAGTATCTCAAGAACAACTCGTCAGATTGCATTAAACTTGGCACATAATTTCTAATGGAAATATGTGCATAATAATAATCTAATTTGCATAATAATTAAGACATTCTTAGGTTTGAAATTATTCCACCATTGTCAATGTGTATTGAAAACCTTGCTTGTAATGATATGTTAAAATAATGTTAGTGTGTATAAAAGTTAATAAAACATGTTTTCAAGATAACACATCGGTGGTTCAGGGATCTACTACCTGACCTCGAAAACTTGTTATGACCAGATCTTTCGATTTCTCTTCACAGCACCACCAAAAATAGATGTACCACTGAAGGATGTAGCAACTCAGGTTGGCAGTAACTTTAAGATTAAGATTCCATTCAAAGCTGTTGGTAATATTGATGCTTCATTAAGCAAAGATGGGAAGAAGTGTGATGGTAAGTCGGGTGAAGCAAAATTATATATCTAAAATTACACAACGTATTCATGTATTTAATTATAAAAACTTAAAAATTATTAAAGTATCTGCTATTTGAACAAATTCTGTACATCACTTATTTTCATGGGAGACATCAGAAGTCATAAGCTTCACTACCCCGGTAGTTTAGATTTCCTTTTGTGGCGAAGTTCAATGAAATAACATACTAGGTAAAAAGAATTGTTTTTCAGTTTTTATCAAATGTACATCTGCTCTTTTCCTACAGAGAATGACAGATTGAAAATCATGGTGTTTGATAATTATGTTACTCTCGCTGTGAAGGATGCCCGACCGAATGATGAAGGCGTGTTCAAACTTACAATATCCAATGATATAGGATCTGATACAGCACCCATCAATGTGAAAGTATTACGTAAGTAATTATTTATGAAATTAATATTGATATTCAAATAATTATCTATTGATGATGTTATTTGACTTGAACAATAATGAAGTCACTGATTTGGTAGTGACATTGAAATAACTTGTCAATGGTTACTTTCAAGGAAAGAATATCAACATTTTACATATTTTGGTTGATTCTAGTATTGTATCAATACACTGCCATTATTGATTGCCTACTATTATAAATGCTTTCCTGATTTTATTACAGAGGAACCAGACCCACCAAGAAATTTAGATGTAGGCGATGTGACAAAGAACACCATTACTATTACGTGGAAGCCACCAGAGTATAACGGTGGCACCCCGATCCGATCATATGTTGTTGAACGAAAAGAAGAAGGTACTGAGAAATGGTTTGCAGTTGGAAGCTATGTCAAAGATACAACATTCACTGCTCAAGGATTATATGAGGGTCATAGTTACTTCTTTAGAGTTAGTGCTGAGAATGATATTGGTACAAGTAGTCCACTGGAAAGCAAAAATCCTATCTTGGCAAAGGATCCCTTTGGTAAGTGTATGAGAACAGAACAAAGTTGACTCTTTGTGAATATGCATGCATCATGCAGAACATGATAATTCAAAATTGTTAGAAAACAACAACATCATAAAATAAAACCATAGTATAATTATCAAGGAAATTAAATCATTTGTTTGAATGGTAGCCAGCTACCTTAATGGAAACAGTGCTGATGACAAACTTCACAACTACCGGTAATAAACAGGGCTATCTCACTACGTTCACTTTAGATCCACCAAGTGCACCAGGAGAGCCTAGCGTAGAAGCTATTGGGTCCGATTTTGTAAGTTTAACATGGAGCAAACCTCAATCAGATGGTGGTAATAGAATAAAAGGGTACCATGTAGATAAAGCTGAACCAGGATCAAATAGATGGGTAGGTATAATATTGTTGCTTGCAATTAATACACCAACACAGCAACATTGCCTGCTGATTTTGTACACAAAGGGTGTCATGGTGGTTCTTCCATTCCTAATATTCACCACCCTCATAAAAATGGTTTGATCTAATAAGGTAAGATCTCCAAATGTACCGGTATACAGCATCTCCAAATTTATACAGCAATCCGAAAGTTAATAATGTATGAAATATTAGTGTATTCATAGCAGTCTGAGTGACAGTGACATTTAATTTGTTTTGTTTTTTGCTAGAACTAATTGTATTAAGTATTGTTTTAGTTCCTTTTGAACCAGTCTCCATTTTGTTGTTACATTTGTTAATGAAAATATTATTATTTCTTTCAGATTCGTTGTACCCGTAATCCTGTACCACAAACCATGTTTAATATCCCTAATCTTATAGAAGATAGAGAATATGAATTCCGTGTGTTTGCTGAGAATGAGGCTGGTCTTAGTGAACCATCACAGGCATCAAAATCTGTTGTAGTCAAAGATCCTAAAGGTAGATACATGTACATGTAGTGTATCTGTAATGCACCCTATAATGGAAAATACGAAAGTTATTTTAGTTGGAATTTATTTTCACCGAAAAAAAACCATTTTGGCTGTTTTGTATGAATTTTCATTTACACTGATTTTTGATGAGTTGAATGTAAAATATAGCAAAAAGGGTATGTTCACTAATAAATAGAGAAAATAAATTCTGAGTGAAAATAATTATGTCACGTGTATCAGTCCAGTGTACCCACCAGTGTATAGTGTCGTGACCTTTAACCTTAAATTTCTGAGCATGTTGTAATCTTGTAAGATCTGTACATGCGCAGATAACAACAGTACACAGTGTTGCATGCTTGACCCAGTAGAATTCTAATATGTCACGTTGTGGTATTTTGGAGCCTCCATTTTGACTCCAATCACTTCTGTAATAATAAAACCACTCTATACATTTACCGTACATGTATGTGTCATAGTTACTCTGAAAATTATTTTTATTAGTTTTAAGTTAAAAAATTGATTCTCTTCCTGTCACAGCTGCAGTCAGGCCTAAATTTACAAAAACATTGGTGGAACAAACTGTTGTACAAGGCAAAGTTGCCAGTTTTGAATGTCAAGTGTCTGGACAGCCAAAACCAGAGATTAGGTGGTAAGTAAAAACCTGAGGCTTACATATCATTTGGCAAGCTGAGATTACCATAAGATTAATTGTATCCTTACAAAATATTTCTGCTTTATTATATTAATAACCAACAATTATAAAATTATTTTATACTGTGGATCAAATGCCGTTCACAGTGTCCCAGCTAATGCCATTATGTATGCCTTCATTACAGGCTCAAAGGTTCTCGTGAATTATATGGCAATGACAAGTACTTGATAACACAAGAAGGCGATAAGTGTTTCTTAACCATCAGTGATGTATTTGGTGAAGATTCAGATGATTATATTTGTGAGGCAACCAACCGTGGAGGAAAGAAAGTAACAAGAGCTTCCTTAATTATTAAATGTAAGTTCAATCTATACCGGTAGGTTATGTGATTTTTATCAATCTGAAGTTGAAGTTGAGAAAGGCTTTATTTTATATAGAGTTTATTTTCACTGATTTTTGATGAGTTGAAGGTAAAACATAGAAAAAAAGGTATATTCACTAGATTTTATTTTCAACAAATCATCCCTTCAGCGAAAATAGTGAAAATTAATTGTCAACACCACTCAATTGAGGATATTTACACAAAAAGGTCGGGGGTCACCAAGTTTTGAGAAAAGGTCGGGGGTCACCAAGTTTTGAGAAAATGATTGTTGTATTTTCGTGGATAGTGACCATTGTGTCAGTATAAAAGATAATATTTGGTAATCGTAGTCGTCAAAAGATCGATGTCGGATAAAAAACTTATTTCCTTTAGTTTGGGGGTGGGGGGGTTTTGACCTCAAAAGTTTCCATCCTACAAAAACGATTTTATTTTTTAATAAAGTCAAAAAAATCTTGGAGTATTTGTAGTTCGTTTTTTTTCTATCCAATCATGGACAGAAATAACCGAAAAGGGAAAAAAACAGAAAAATGGTTTGGTTCGAGTGTAAATCTGTGCGTCAAATAAGGTGCATTTGTAAAATCTTTTTACACCCACCCGACAACCAACTGCTATGCAATACTACTGTCCGATTATCAATTTGTATTTAATGGTGTATGTAGTCTGACGCCATGACCAATATTTATCTATTAAGTTTCAGTGGGGGGTAGAGGGGTTTGGAAAAAAAACTAAAGGTATTAAGTTTTTTATCCGACATCGATCTTTTGACGTCGTCCCTAAGTAACTATTAAAAATAGCTAAATAGCTATTGTGTTACATGTATAATAATGTTTTTACCTTTTACCATAGGTTTTTATGGCAGGAATATTATGCCATATCTCAAATTGTAGGCTGGCTGAAAAATTATATATTGTGACTGATGGCGTACTATTTGCTGAATTATTTCAAAAATTTGGGTTTTAATAAAAGTTAAAACATTTTTGAAAATATTCGAACAAGTTTCTTAAAATAAGTCACTGTGCACACAAAATAATGCTTTTTCATGGTGCAGTCAGACAAAGGCTCCAGAGTTTTACATAATAAATTTTCATGCGATTTATGAGCAACTTTCTCAAAAATATGAGTAGGGTAAAAATACAGAAATATTGTAGTCCTGCAAAAATTCCTAGTTGTTAATTGTAAATAGTTTACAGTTTCGAAGATTATACTGAATTATACTACATGCAACCATTTTAAATCTTTTTAGCATTTTATTGGCCTTAACACCAAAATCATTTCAACTGATAATAAAAGAAGGAGATTTCAGAAAAATACCATATTCAATTTACTTTTGATATTTTCAGGGTAATGAGCTAAAGCAATGTAGCAATCTCATTCTTCGTAGCACCATATAAACTCACTTTAAATAGCACATGGCCAACAGCCCTAGACCAATCAGAGTGGCAATAAAGTGATGTTCTAATTCAACATGAATTTACTCAAATCACGGCTGAAAAAAACGCGAGAAAACAAAGGATTTTCATTGCAACAATTTATTTATAACACCAAGATGAGATACAAAGTATCCATTGAGTTACCGAAACTGTCAACTGACACTACTGGCAGGCCATCGTTGCAACATTTTGACAAAATGTAACATAATGTACTAAAATGTTATTTCACAAGTTTGATTGCTGTCAAAATGTCATCATTTGATTGGCTAATACGAATCTTTTCTCGAGCTGATTGGCCAGTGCTAAGTCGGTTAGATCATGCCCCTTGATGACTATGAGAATTAGAACGAGGGCCGTCGGCCCTCATTCAAATTCTCGTAGTCACCTCGGACCATGATCTAACCTATACAAGTCTGTGATGTTTGAATTAAGACCATGTTAATGAATATCTCAAACCTGTAAACAAGAATTTCCAAATGAAATGAGTTTTTTTTTTTGCTTGTCTTTTGAAGGTCCACCAAAGATCAAATTGCTACAACGCTACCTGGATGGCCCTGTGGAATTCACAAAAGGTGATCCTATCCGAATTAGGGTACCTGTCACAGGTTACCCCAAACCATCATGCTCATGGTCAAAAGAAGGCACTGAAATTACAAAAGGAGTGGAATCCACAGAGAGGCACACAACACTGTATGTGTCAGTGGCAGATCGAAAACATTCGGGAGCATACAAAATCTTAGCTGAAAATGACCAAGGATCAGATCATGCTATTGTGAAGATTTTGGTTCCTGGTAAGTATGCCATGAAATATATCATTTGTATTTGTTTTTGTTTTTATGACTTGACTGCATAAAACCTGACTTAACCCCTTTAAAGGGTTTTTTTTTTGCTTTTATCATTCTGGATGTTAGTTTTTACTTCAACCTGATACAAAAAAGTGTGACCATTTTGTGTACACTGACACACGTATCTGGTTGTATAATGATCAACTTCCATGTTGTTGAATGAGTTGTTATTAAGCAGCCATTAAATGTAGATTCTTCTCTAAATCAACATGTTTGGAATTCATCGTATTGTAATATAATATGATTACCGTAGAAGGGTAAATGATACTCATAGTTGAACTTCAGCAGATTTGCTTATAACAGGGTAATCACTACGTGAAAATTCAGTAGTTTGTGAATAAAACAAATTATTAGTTAAATATGAATATTCACTGGCTTGTAATTTCAATGATTTTGTATGATTAGTGTTAAACATTCTTGATATAAAGCAGTGATAGTGTACATTGTCCAAATAGAAATCTATATAATTGTTTTTTCAGATATACCCAGCGCACCTACCAATTTACGAGCACGGGACATCACCTACGATACAGTTGAACTATCATGGGAGGCATCAACAGATAACGGAGGCAGTCCAATCACTGGCTATGTTATTGAAAAGAAGGAAGAAGACATTGCCAACTGGATGCGGGCAGGTTTCACTACTATCACTACAGCATCCGTTACCATGCTTAGTTCTGGGAAGACATATGGATTCCGAGTTAGGGCTGATAACATTCTAGGTGGTAGTGATAATGTAGAAATCACACATACAATTACAACAGCAGGTGAGAATTCATATTTATAAACAGTATTTTGAGATAAAATCAAGGTAATTATTATGATTCATATGATTAGAATGTGTTAAATACTCTGTATTCATAATGAAATCATTTCATATGCCTTGTACTACCATAATAATTTGATGTCACTACGAGAAGCGCCCCAAATGCTGGATATTGTAGGCCACAATTGGAGTGAGAGACAGGGATATCGACTTACAGTAATGCAATGACTATACTCTCAGCCGACCATAGAGAGCTCAGACATAAGTAGATAAAATTTGCTTAAATTATATGTTTTTTTATTTTACCATTTTCAGAACCTCCAAAGAAGAAGAGACCTACATTTGAAGAAGAGGAAGGTAAGTTAGTGTATATTTACACTTTGCAGGGACAAAATAAAACACATTATTTTGTATTAGTATAGGAAGCACATTTATTTTTTTTACCAATTTATGTAAAAACAAACATATGCTACTACCAGTCTCTAATTTAATGTTTCAAATTGAACTCTGAAAATAGTTGTGCATTGAAGATATATTCTAATGAAATTTTCGATTTTCTTCTTATATAATTGGAGTTTTTTAATTTGCTCACATGAGTATTATGTCTGTACTGTCATCTTTCATTTATGCAAATAAGAAAAGTACAATTTACATTCCGCTCAAATAATATCAAAATTGAGAAGAGGAAGGGAAGAGATAGTATTATGAGGGTTGATACGTCATCATTGTCATTAACTTTTCTAGCTTTCTGAATGAATGAGGAAATGATAATGAAAATAATATATTTAATAATTGTGTGTATTGTTATTTTTTGTTTTGCAGAAGCTAGAAGTAGAAGAAGAGTACCTGAAGTGTCCAATTATGATATTCTAAGTAAGCATGGCTGAAATCTTATAATGTATTGTTAGATCTAATTATTCTATGAAAATGATAATGCATGTGGCATTCCTACTTCAGACATATGATAAACTTCAAGTCAGTAGGATATGTTATGATAATTACTGTGTATTATAAATTGTTAAAATATTATGTATTGTTAAAATATTTGATAATACATTATGGTGATGCACTATTATTTATTGCTTTGTACTGTTGGAATATTCATCTCTGATATCACATTATGATAATGCAGTATTACTTTGTTTTTGCAGTTAATAAAGAAATGTTCCTTCCCAAGGATGTCAAGATTAGGTCTGGTAGTGTACATGATAGGTATGATATTGGTGAAGAACTGGGAAGGTAAGGATTGTATACTGACTGATATGACTATGATTTTGTCTTGAAGTGCGAATTCTAACTTTATGTTTAACTTAATAGTGTATTTCACACATGTTGTATATACATTGCATGGTACTCATATCAATCGCGAAACATTGGATTCTTTAGAAAGTGTAAATATTGCTATAAAACCATTTATTTTTACTGGCGTTATTTTAAGGATATTTACTGGGTTTTTAAGTTCATGAATTTGCCAGTGAAACAATTAGTTATACTGTAATTCATCATTCACTAAATCCCAGTTAATAATTAACACACTCAAAGTACAACCCTGAATTTTTAACTAACCTTTCCTTTTTTATCTGAAGGGGTGATTTTGGTGTTGTGTATCGAGCAGTCGAGAGATCCACTCAAAGAAACTTTGCAGCTAAATTCATTGATTGTAAATCACCTATAGAAAAAGCAGCGATAAAAGCTGAGATAAAAATGATGAATAGTCTCCAGTATCCAAAACTTTTACAGCTTCATGATGCCTATGATTCTGGTGATCAGCTTGTTATGGTGCTTGAATTGTGAGTAATGTATATGTCCATATGTAATAAATTATATTCAACTTTAAATATTGACCTACAATATTCAGCAAATTTTTGTGCTCATTACCCCTCCCTTTAGAACTATGTGATTTATGTGAACTGGTCTAGAAACATTACACTTCTTAAACTTTTAACATTTCGGGTTGAAATAGTTAAGTAAGTAAATTCCTTGAAAAATTACATTAACATCATGTTTAATTGTGTTTTCAGTCTTTCTGGTGGTGATGTTTTTGATCGTGTATTAGACTCTAATTATGTACTTACTGAACAAGAAGTTGCTCTCTATGCTAAGCAAATTGTAGAAGGTCTGAATTTCATGCACTCAAAGAGTATTATGTATCTTGATCTGAAGGTAAGTCCCTATTATTACCATAAATCTAAACAATTTCGATATTCAATTTTATGTCCACCAGCAGTGGTGAACACCAGGGTGAAAGTAATATTACCATATTTGTCTGATACTCCTACTAAGACCACTAATGGAAAACAGGTCATATTTTGGGGAGTACTGGCTTCACAACAGGGCGATGTTTTGGGGAGTACTGGCTTCAAAACAGGGCGATGTTTTGGGGAGTACTAGCTTCAAAATAGGTCATATTTTGGGGAGTACTGGCTTCAAAACAGGGCGATGTTTTGAGGAGTACTGGCTTCAAAACAGGTCATATTTTGGGGAGTACTGGCTTCAAAACAGGGCGATGTTTTGGGGAGTACTGGCTTCAAAACAGGACGATGTTTTGGGGAGTACTGTCTTCAAAACAGGTCATATTTTGGGGAGTACTGGCTTCAAAACAGGTCATATTTTGGGGAGTACTGGCTTCAAAACAGGGCGATGTTTTGGGGAGTACTGGCTTCAAAACAGGTCATATTTTGGGGAGTACTGGCTTCAAAACAGGGCGATGTTTTGGGGAGTACTGGCTTCAAAACAGGTCATATTTTGGGGAGTACTGGCTTCAAAACAGGCGATGTTTTGGGGAGTACTGGCTTCAGAACAGGGCGATGTTTTGGGGCATTACTGTATTTAAATCATTATTGCCTAAATACAATAGCCATGAAATATGGTGACAAATATTGAAAATACTGCAGTCAGTATTCTAATTTAGGTGTCAGATGAGAATTAAAGACCATCAATTGGTTTAAAATATGCATCAAAAAACGAATTTAGGCATTTTCTTGTTATAACAAACAATACTTGATGATTTTAATGTAATAATATATGGAAAATATTTTTGTGAGTTGTCCTAATTGTATGTAGAAAATTATTCACCTTGAGTTGAATTCTTGATTACAGCCAGAGAATGTTCTGTATGAGAGCAAGAAAGGTTCCAATGTAAAACTAATTGATTTTGGAATGGCAACCAAGATTGATCCGGAACAGAAAGCCAAGATGGTATTTGGGTCACCTGACTTCGTAGCACCAGAAGTTTTAAACAAAGATTCAGTTGGTTTTACAACTGATATGTGGACAGTTGGAGTGCTTTGTTATATGTTGTAAGTTTAATGACTAATATGATATTTACAAATAATCTAAATATGACATAGTTTGTCGTCACAAACTTGTCTTCATTGTACAAGTTGCCTGGTTGTCTTGTGCTTCAGGCTTCAGGGCAATATTTTATTCCTGTCATGTGATACAATGTTGCAGAGCTTGAACCTTAGTATTAGGAGTGCATAATATCGAAGAACACCAATGTCTTGATGTCTCTATAAAGTTCAAGCTCTGTATTTACATATGATAGAAAAGAATGTGTCACAAATGTAATGAATCGTTATAGATATCTATGCCACATTCAAATGTTTGTACATAGGTGTAAAAAATATCAACACATATTACACTTAGTACAAAGTAAATGGAAAACTAATTTCAGGTTGAGTGGAAAACATCCATTTGGTGGAGACAAAGGAAGAGTCAAGCGTTGTGATTGGACATTTGATAGTGATTCATTCAAGGGAATCTCTGATGGGGCTAAAGATTTCATCAAGAAGCTCTTAGTTGCAGACAAGCAGTAAGTAACCCATTCCGACGAGTCTTTCATACTCAGTCTGTAAACCAACCAATATATGAGGATTAACACTCATTATGGGCAGCATTTGAAGTCAATGGCATTGTACCATAGCTGTCTTGATTTTGCCAATTGGTGTTCTTGAATTTTTATGGTTATATAACCTGTTTATGGAATGGTATGAGATCAACTCAGAATATGCATCAAATTGACTACAGACTAAGTTTGATTACCAAAATCTCCAAATTTCTGACACCCATGGTACAAATTATTAATTAAATCATGGTAACTTGATGTTTACAGCACATAAACCACTTACTCCTCACACATGTGGTTTATATACTATGAGTGTCATAATGAATCAGAACCTTCAAGTTAAATATACCACCATTAATGGTATATTTAAATGCAGATTTTGTTTTAAATTGGACATCTTATAGGGTCTCATTGCCTGCACATGTTGATCTTATTTTAAAAACGGTGGCGTAAGCTCACTCTTGCATGCTTCTAATAGAGCAAACGCAGCATTAAAATTCAGATAGGGTATTATAGATGAATAGAAAAATAAAAAATTCTATTTGAGTGGATACATGTATTAAAATAACATGTATCGGTATAATGGTAACAAATAAACATCTCTAGAAAAAGAAAAGAATCATCTCACCGGTTGTTTTTGTCTCTAATAGCTGATAATGTTTTAATGAAATAATTGACTTCTTTTAATGTTTGTCATTTTGCCTTCCTGATGTAATTAAGTATGTTTTTAAACATCAAAATTGTAAATTTTCTGTGAAAAGATTGACGAAAGTTTTGTTCTTATGTCTGTGTATAATTTATGAGCATATGTTTTCAGTTATCAGTTTGTTAATAAATGTTTTGTATTCTTTCAATAGTGAGCGTATGACAGCTGTGGATGCATTAGAACACCAATGGCTTCTGGTAAGTTCTTTCTCTGAAAACAGTCAATTAATTTGTTTTCCAAATAAAGGCCATTGATGTTACTTGCCTGGTATAAGTAAAATACAGCTTTCAAAATTTGTTTTGAACTCCCATTTGAGATAATATTAATGGATGCACTTTTATGGTGCCACCATTCTTTCAACTTTGTTTTACAGGATCCTAGCCAAGGTGGTAGTATTAAAATATCTACAGAAAGACACAGAGAAATTCTTCTAAACTACAAGTGGAATGTGAGTAATGGCAGTTTTTAACCTCACCTCTGCAATTTAGTAATTTTCTTTTTATTGGTTTGTCAGTAATGAAGTGAAGGGAAAGTGGCAAAATGTCTGTCGTCTGGCATCATAAACTTTTCTTGTAGGCTTGATAACTCAAATAAAATTCAGCCGTTTGCTATCATACTTATATATATAGTTAAACTGTAGATATAGTTGCCCTGTATAGATTTCGATTTGATCTTCCAAAAAATGTATTTCAGGCAATTTTAGAAAGTTAGTTTTCATAGTACCATATATCTTCAGAAATCTCAACCTATAGCATATGGGTTATGTGTATTGAAATAAGCTTTTAGTATCCAAACTAAGCTTAACTTCATTTTACAATTCAATGAGTCATATAGTAGTTCTCACTCATTTCATATCTTGGTTAATATGCATAGATGAGAAAAGTAGTGTCAGTTATTGTTTTCACTCAGGCATTTAGATATGTAAAAGTCGTCCAGTATGAACATTTTCATATTTTTCCATGTATGTGTGTGAAAATGTGGCTTACAATTTTTCTTTGTGGTTCTAATTAACTGAAAATATGTTATCTAGTCATCTTCAAACTTGGATATATTATTATCACTATAAAATCCAAACCAAGATAAATGTTGGTGATTGGCATGAATAAATAAGATATATATTGAAATTTGGTATAAAAACATAGGTTGACTCTAGAACAAAAAGTACAAGTATACAAGAGCAAGGGTTTAATTGTTGCACTATATTTTTTTAATGTTAGACTGGTACATCATTGATACCAATTGGTCGGTTGTCAAGTATGGGATCCTTGAAAAAGATAAGACCAATTGAAGGAGATGAATTGACTGAAAGAAGCATGAGTAAGTTTATCATTATTCACTCTGAACTGACACTAACATAAATATTACTATGAACTGTTAGATTATCTGCACCAGAAATTGCTGCAACATGATTGTTGGTGTCTGTGATAAATATATTTCACGGTGACTCCCTGCCTACCAAAAGTTGTTGGTTTTCGTACAGTGGAGGTTTATAGTGAATTGTAACATTTTCAATACTGGAAATGATTTGATTTAATAATATTTACTTAAACCTCATTCCATAAATTTGGAATTTGGCAAAATTTTTCTTGGCAAAGTTGCATTTTGGGCATATAAGTTAGTACTGATTATTGTCAAACTTTCAATAAAATCTAGAAAAATAACCCACATAAAAACTGACAAACAACCCCCAAATTGTATATCTCACCATCAGATGCAGTGAATTTCAAACAGGTAAACTAATTATAAATTAATTCTATTTTTTTTTATCTGCAGGCAAACGTGATGCTGCTCCAAGATTAATCCAGAAACCTCGTAATTTGCATGTTAGAGAGTTCAGCAATGCTCTGTTTGAATGCGTTATTGCTGCAGGAACTGCACCAACAGTTTCATGGTTAGTTAAGAATTGAATCTCTTATATTGATAATGTCATGTATCAAACATGATAATTATTTGTTCAGAATGACACTGTACATGGTAGTAACCTATTTTTGTCACAATGGCCATCATTATGGCACCATATATCCATATATAGTAGTTTGTTAAGAATTACCTCATTTATGATAATGAATATTTTTGTTGTTGAGAATAGGCAAACTTTATTAATACTTATTTGACCCTGCAAGGTCTATCATCACATGATTGAGTGCTCCTATTTACCTGATCTTAATATAGCAAACCAATTGATTGGGCAATTTTGCATGTAAATGCAATGGTCTTATTATCAAGTGCGTTCCTTCTCACTTAATCTAGATCAGGTGACCTGCTTTGCATAATACATCCAATGACACCATATTTGGTAATCCATTGTTATTTGTTTAAAATGATACCATATATGGGTATATAATAATAATATAATTTTTTAAGAATTACATTTCTATGTGCCCATTGCCATTGAACCTGAACATCGCCATAACTGGTAATCTTTCATCACAAGTCCTCAGTATAGATATAAATTTGTGGTCATGTTACTGAATGTCACCAACAGTAATCTACTGTTCTCAATATAATATTCTAATACCATATATCTAAATCTCCAAAAATGTTATGATCATCCCATGTAATTTGTTTATTTTGCAGGTTTAAAGAAACCAAAGAACTTGTGCAAGGTCTAAAACATAAAGCCAAATATGATGATATCAATTATAAGCTTCAAGTTGGTAGATGTCTTGAAGATGATGCCGGGGAGTATACTGTGAAAGCAGAAAACTCCTATGGTAATATTAGCTGTACAGCCAAATTACAGGTGGAACGTAAGTGACATTTATGATTCATTACATATACATTTGCAATAAAGAAGAAATGTGGATAACTTTTTCTGATTTTCATTTACTTCAAAAGCGATGTTTCAGCTACAAACTATGTATAGCTCAACCCAAGGTGCACTCATTATTTCATCTAACAAATACTGCTGTGGTAGTTGCGTTTTTATTTTCACTGTCATCAAAGATGACAGAGATGAGCTGTTCATATAGCTGATTGTCCATCATCGCATTTGCGACTTCTTCTCAAAAACTATCGGATCAATTGCTCCGATACTTGGTATGTAGATACCTTGGGTTATTTTGTTACGACATCTTTAATTCTCTATTTTTTGGCCAAAACAAACACAGCCACACAGTCGTTTGTTTCCCCACTATGATGTTCTTGTAACCATACATTCCTTTATCATTGCACTCATCTGCAGAAACAGCTGAGCTATTTTGACCACCAGATTGCTTGTTTATTCATCGATAAATCATGCCCTATATTATAATGTTTTTAGCTCTTTCATCTGAAAGCATTATGGTGTTTCCATATCTACTCACAGAAGTAAGGTGCTTTGCCAGGGTCATGAGTTTAAATACTGTGTGTGTGTTTTTTATGTTCTTAATCTGCCTGAAATGTACAGTTTTAGAAGAAAAATGCTTAAAGTATTGTGCCATACAGGGAATATTCAACACAATGTTGTAAAGCAGTGAACATTGTCAACATTGCCAAGTCAATGCTGAATTTGTATACCTTGTTGCCAGTTTCACAAATAGAACATGTATTACAACACGATTTGGTCTCATCCATTTTCCCAACTTGTTTCCTTTTACAGCTGACCCGAGCAAGCGAATTAAATATGAAAAGAAAGTAATTAGGTAAATTTTTTCAATTTAAAATTTCAATATGTTTTTCTTGTTAATAACTATTGTAAAGATGCCCTAGAATACACGTACATCACTCCTATAAATTGTTCCTATAGTGACAAGGCACATTTGATATGCATTTGGGTCTTAAATTGATCTTTTAATTAGTCCCCGTTCGGACGTAGTCCGAAAACGGGGACTTATGGTTTGCCCTGTGTGCGTCCGTCCGTCCGTGCGTCCGTTGA